GTGAGCAAAATTTTTTAATACGTCAAAGACACTGACATTTCTCACCAGAGAAGGAGGGTGTATGTTCATCTACTTGGATTTCTATTAGTCCAATGACTTCCCTATTTGTTATGCCAAAAGAAGGAATGGACTAACAAAACTGACCGAAGAATGAAGGTTTGACTTAAATTTGTCTTCCAAGTTCTGTCAGTAATTTTTGCAATATTATTGTCTGATGTTAAGACTGTATAGGGATATGCAAATTATGACTTCCAAAAAAAAAAACAAAGAAAAAAAAAAAGTTACTTCAAAGTAATAATTCTAAAGGATGTATGCATGTTTGTGATTGTGTGTGTGTGCGAGTGACTGCTATTGTCATGTTATAATAGTGTGCTCTTTTAAAGGAGGGAATTATGCTGGGTCAGGGAAGTAAAGCTACATTCATCGCACTTCATCAGTCGGGCATCATCTGTCATTGTGAAAGAACACACCGTACAGGTCTCTCCGGGCAGGTGGCACAGATATATACACACATACAAACACAAAGGTGCACAGATACGTTCACACATGCACAAACAAACCTAGCCCTCAACATCCCAATTATCTAGACCTAGTATGATCTTTCCGCTAGACCTTGACCCCATACATACCTCTTTGCTGACGAAGAGGTACTGCTCAGTATCTATGGCCTTTCCTTTTTGTAACAATACTGCCTTAGTGTCTGGACACCAGGGAACGACACCCTCACTTCCACAACAGAACTGAGAATATTAAGAATGTTTTGCAATCATTTTGTATGTGCTTTGTATGTGAACTGCAGTACTTAAGCAATAAAACTGTATGCTTGGTTTTTGTACATGCACAGAGGTTAAACTGTAAATTGCAGCTTCCTTCCTGTCTAACAAAAGATATTGGATGATTGTGACAATGGCAACGACTCTACTATGACGCAGTTAAAAAAAAAAGCCCACTGCAGTTACCAAAGCTTATGAGTTAAGACCTGTAATTACAATGTCATGTTTGAATTTGGGTTTGTATGTTTAATTTCTGTTTTGCATCTGTTCAAATGCACATTTTGTATAATGCAGTAAGCCTATACCCCACAATTTCCATGAGGTTATATATGCTTTCTGGTTGTGCAATACATGTTTTGGTTAGTATGTATTATATTTCATATCTGTGAAATTAAACATTTTTAACCATTTAAAATGTATTTCAGCAGAGGTACAGCAGACTAAAATAACAAAAACAACTCTGCTAACACAATAGTTAGCCTAGCACCTGCTATGATATGCCATATGTGGCTGGTCGTAAAAGGAGGAATAGTATTTTTCTAAGTGTCCTTCCTTTTGAGCAAAGCTTACACAGGTGGATCATGAAAAATCCCTGCTTTATCCCAGGTTATTATTATATATTGTATAATTTGTATGATTTTATAATACATGTCTATGTATATATATATCTATTGTGTATGTGTTTGTTTTGTTAATCTATATATTCATAATTTAATATATATACTGTCATCATCAGTCTGCAGATACTGTCATTATACATCACTCGGTCCTTCCGCTCTCAATTTTTTTCCATTCTTGCAATATGCATTTGATTATCATATCATTAATTTAATTTTCAGACCCTGATTTTTTTCCAAGTAAACATCATTCCCTGCACTGAAGTTGGATAAAATTGCAAGGCAAAATCCAAATGAGAGAGGTATATGTGATCATGTATCAAAGCATCAAAGAGCTTTTTGTTAGTATTACAGAGCACACATTACATTACACCATAATATTTCTCTTTTTCAGGTCTGAGTGTGTGTATGCGTGTTTTCTGTGCATTTATGTTGTAGCATTTTATAATATTCTGTGCATTTATTATTTATCATAACCAAAGTGAGGTATCATTAATGATTGTTATACAGTAGTATTTTTAACATAAATTAGACAATTACTGACAGCCTGACTTTAACATTAAAAGGTGGTCAAGTATTGGTGGCCAATGTGCTCATAAAGGATGCTCATTCCTGTTGGTTTTCGAGAATTGTAATCCAAATCAGAATTTATGGTCACTGTATGGCACAATGGTTAAGTCATATGGCATATCCGAGATGGACAAGTTGTGTCATTATGCATCAGTCTACAGTGCATCAAAAAAATCATTTGTTCTTCCATCGTAACAAGCTTCCTCCTGGAATATGTCCCCTTCGGAACTCATAGGCATATTAGTGCAATATTTTCACATGGAATATGAACAACTGCCGTCAGTTATTATTTTATTTTATTTATTTTTTTAGTTAAAAGATGACCAGACTTGCTATATTTGGTCAGTGTTTCACTGTATCATGATTATAATTATAATAATTATGGTAACAACATGTAACATAACTAACATGCTTCAGATTCAAAATATTACAGAATATAACGTTCATCATGAATACTAAATAATCATATATGTACAAATATTCATGAGTATAGCTATATTTCATTTGACCTATGTTAATCGATATATAGTTGTAAAAAATAATAAATTTTATTGTTTTTCTTTAAGTCAAGTCTGTGTTATGTCCTTTATTTATCTTTCTCTCTTCCTGACCAGGTTGCATCTTAAGTAAAGGACCTCCCTGTATTTACTAGATTTAAAGCCTATTAGTGTTTTAGTGTTTAACATTTTACCAAATTCATTTATTTTTACCCATTTTAAATACAGCAAACAGTACCAAAAAATGAAAATGTACTGAAAATTAACTCACCCTAAAGCCATCCAAGATGTAGATGAGTTTGTTTCTTCATCAGAACAGATTTGGAGAAATTTAGCATTACATCATTTGCTCACCAATGGATCCTCTGCAGTGAATGGGTGCCGTCAGAATGAGTGTTCAAATCACTGATAAAAACATTACAGTAATTCACAAATGATCTATACAATTCCAGTCTATTGATTAACATCTTGTGTTTGAAAAAAAAACAAATCCATCATTAAGGCATTTTATCTGTTTAGAGCTGTTTTGAACTGTTTTCACTTGTAAATGTTGGTTGATTTCTGCATATTTCTCTCCTGATTCAGACAAGACTACTTTTTCCATTAGAGAAAGCAATATTACGGATAGAGGATATATTTGAATTTGAAAACACCTTTTATTATAGAGATGCAGCATTTCACTTTACAAGATGTTAATTGATGGACTGGAGTGGTGTGGATTACTTGTGGATTATTGTGATGTTTTTATCAGCTGTTTGGACTCTCATTCTGACGGCACCCATTCACTGCAGAGGATCCAATGGCGAGCAATTGATGTAATGCTAAATTTCTCCAAATCTGAACTGCAAATTTTCATTTTGTGTGAACTATTTCTTTAAAGTAAGAGCAGGCCTTGACATCACGTTATTTAAGCTGTACAAAAACAGTCGGTTATGGCGCTTGATGTTGGAAACTGGTATTTGTTATTGTATTATATAATTTACTACCATTAGGCTATAATAAACATACTGCTTTGCAGCACAAATAGTTTTATGTTAGTCGTTGTTTACCTATAGCGGCTAATAATGAATGGGAAGTTTCGCACACTCACGGGAAATTGCTTGCTTCTGCATTGAAAAATAAGGTCAATATTGATATATTTTAATAATAGTTCATTACTATTAATAAATCAAATGTAATTATTGTGACTCTATCAACATGTTTAATCGATTGACAGCCCTAATTTGCTTTTCTGGCATTCATACATCATCTCGAGTGCATGGCTTCTGTAACACTGCCACAGAAGGAGAGAATCACAAGGTCGCGTCCTTGAAAATCCAATGCACTGTTCTCCCAGCTATTGAGCCTTGATTCCAGCACTTCTGACACATTCTGTAGCTCCAGTGGGGAACTAAGATAGCACTCACTTCCCCGAGACAGCAGTGGCTCACTGTCTTGCTCTCCATCCTCCACTAAACTGGACTGTTTAACCCAGGGGTGTCAAACTCAGTTCCTGGAGGGCCGAAGCCCTGCAGAGTTTTGTTCCAACCCTGTTGCAACACACATACCATGTCGTTTTCAAATAAGCCTGAAGGACTTGATTAGTTGGATCAGGTGTGTTTAATTAGGGTTGAATCTAAACTCTGCAGGGCTCCAGCTTGGTTTAACCCCTATCAGTATCATCGCGAAACAGAGCATCTAATCTGTATGTTTTGCTCAGATCTAGCGCTCACCAGAGAAGTATTGTCCTTCCTGTGGTGGAACCAAGCAGAGATGGCTTGTGAAGGAGTGCTGGCAGAACACACCAAAGGCTGAAATGATGTTTATGGCAGCTATTACACTTTGTCTCCGCACTGGAGCTGATGCTTCGTAAGAATTCCACTCATAGCGGCTTGATGTCTGCTAGCCTGCTGGCGAATCAAAGCCTGGCTAAGCCTCACCCTATTTGCATACAAATTGACCAGCTGATCCCTGTCACTCTGACAATGCAGCCAAGGTACACCCAGACAGCAAGCCCCGCTAATTACAGCGTGATCCCGTTATATTAATGCCAAATGGATGCCTAGTCGGGAATGAAACCTGATGCTGAAGTTTCCCCTTATTGTCGGCCCTTGTGAAACTTTGAAAAGTTACCCAGTATGTTATGAATTTTAATTGCGCATCAGGACTTGCTGAATCACTGCATCCGAACAGCTCCTGCACAGAAGATGAGGAGTTTTTATTTAGGTCCGTGCACATTCCCGGAGGAATATTCAGGGTACTTGCATTGTGTCTTTTCGCTATCCAAATGAATTAAATAAAATGAATAAATTATGAACGTTTACCTTTTGGTTTTTAATAATGTTCAATGCAGTGCCTTTGGATGTCCAATTACACACTGACCCCTTGTGGTCAGTTTAAAGCTTCAACGATAGGCAAATAAATCAGAGCTTTCTAATCCAAGCTATTAAATGTGCGTATGGCTAAGCATGCAGCACACATTACAATATAATTTCTCAAAAAATATTAAATATTCACTGGAATCAGGTGCGTTTAAACAAAACAAAAAAGACATTGGATTGACCTAATTGTCAAGATTCTGTATTTTCAATATAGTCCACGGGGTGGCGTTATTGGGATATGCCTTTGACTACATATGAAAACACAAACAGTGAACAAAACGATATGCTGTTTAATCGCTTTCAACAAGAAAAACAACAAAACATACAGAGAAAAATAATGGAATTCCACAATGTATCGGGATACAAAAAGTTCACTGTAGACACATACAGCACAGTGCTGATGAAAATAATTTTCCGGTGGTATGAGAAGGGATTCAAAGGGTTTGATGCGAGTTTAAGCATATGAGCCACACCACAACTATTTTTGGGACTTGAATATCTTTATTGGAGGCTGAACAGCTGACAAAATGTTTGCATGTGAAAACATGCTGGAGGCTGGGGGGGCGGGGTACAGTTCATGAGGTTGAGCTCAAGGCACCACAACAATGCGCATGGTGTTGGTGTAGCCAGATCCTGGACGCCAGCCTGTGACAATGATGAGAACGTCGCCAGACTTGAAGTACTTCCTGGCTTTGCCTGAAAATCAAAATGGAAGATGTAAATAATAACTCTAGTACAAAGGTAAATGGTTTAAGTGCCTGATATATGATTATCAAACAGTCCTGATCACATCTAAACCCATGTTTTATATTAAAGGCAGGGTAGGTGATTTGGTTCAAAAACATTTTGTGTTATGATGGTTGAAAGTCTAAATGTCTTTATATGTATTTATATCTAGGGTTGGGTACCGGTATGTACTAGAACCGAATCCGAATGCAGATTTCAGTGCCTCATTTCGGTGCCATGCCTGAGCGATCGACTGAAATATTTGTCCTCTGGTTCTCCTTTGTCTTCTTGTCACAGAATGAGGCAGAAAATATGTTCTATATGCTCTTTTAAAAAGCATACATCAATTAGCAATAGATTATAAATTAGGGTGACCATACATCCTCTTTTCCCAGGAAATGTTCTCTTTTTGGACCTACAGGCTGCCTGTCAACGTATGTATTTGCATACCTCCACTCACCCTGTTCCAGTAGACATGATATGTCATCAGCGCTTTCCATTAGCTATTGCACACTGAGCGAGAACGGAAGGCATTATTATTTTAATATTACGCGCTTTGTACTGTAATGTTTTCTCACCGGTAAATGAGACGAGATAATCTGACAGTGTTGCATTCAACCCGCCATCAACACCGTCTCTCATCGTGTCGCTGGTTAGCCTCTGGTCTGCCTGTGCACGCTCATGTGTTTTGGAGGAGGCGTGGCTTTGGAGAGTGATTTGCAGGGAGGGTGAGATCTTACGCGTTCAAAGCTAGCTTGCTATTGCTTGCCTCTCCGAAATCACCTGCCCTAACTTTAACTTAATGTTAAATTGCAGTTTGTGGCTTTTAGTACACGTTTGCTTTTAGCTTTAAGGCTGTTCACAGCAATACTGGTAACTACAAAGATAACAATAACAATAACTATATTAGCACACTCTACAGTTATGTTGTAAAGTTAGTGGATTCTGATTGGCTGTCAAAGTTTAATCTTTTATCACCTGGGAAAAAATCATTCTGAAAGTGATTCAAATGATATCGTCCCTCTGTGTTGTTATTGTTAGAGTTGTGGTGTGGACTTCACTATTCGCATAGAATTAGAACGCTTATTAAAACTTTATAGTTATAGTTATGGTTGGAGTTATCATACTTGGGGTGAATAATCCTTAAAGGCCCGTTCACACCAAAAATGATAACTTTAAAGATAACTATATTAGCGTCCACACCAACGTTCTGTGGACAAAAAATTGACCAAGCAAAAATCAGTGTGCATCTGTTAGTGTCACACTAGATGAAGCGCTAGATTTCTCTAGATGTCTCATTACCAATCTCCAGGGTGAAGCTGACACGTAGATCCACATCCTCAGCCCATACATCATTAGCAGGCTTGGTGTAGAGGATGGGGATGACGCCGCGATACAGGTGCAGCTGCCGGGCTGTCTGGCCGTTACGGGTCACAGCCATGATAGGAGCACGTGGCCTGTATCTGGACAGCAGCTGGGCAGACCTGAGGAGACGAAGACAGGTTGACACAAAATATTAGGACAGAATTCTTATAGAACTACTAACAATACTAATAATAAGAGTTAATTTATTCTTAATAATATTATTATTAATATTAATAATTATAATTTGCCATGGATAAGATGAGCTCTAATGTTCCCTAAAATTTTCATTGCTAATAGAACATGACTGTGTTTTAGTGTTTCCATGAAGTATGTAGTTTAATATGTAATACATTATAAAATATATATTTAAAAACAACCACAATAATAATAATTATTATTATTATTGTTATAAAATATTACTAGGTAATAATAATAATCTGATGAATATTATATTAATATTTTCATTGCTAATATGAATGACTCCATGACTAAAATGACTGTATTTTATTGTTTTCATGTAGCATGTAAATATATATATTTTAAATATTATAAATATACATGTATTTTAAAAGTTGCTAATTTAAAACGTAATTAAAAATAATATCAATAATAATTCATTTTATTTACATATCTATAACATTACAGAGCATAATAGCATAATTTTGAAAATGGACAAAATAAATAAAGAAAAAAAATACATATAGAAATACAGTATGTTCCAACTTTTTAAAAACTTTGTTCATTCTGAAGAGATTTATTTTATAATAATAATTAGCGGACTGTACATTATCCAAATTTAATTTGGCTTCCTACCAAATAAATAAACTTAAAAATTTGGAATTGGAGTTGGAATTAATTTAGTAAGTGACTGAGGTCCGTTAGAATAAAACTAACATAGTTATGCATCAAATGGTCAATTATATAATTTAGCTGCCATTATACAAAATACTTAATAATATAATGATGCAACTGACCAATCAGAATCAAGTATTCCAGACATACATGCAATAAATAGATAAAATGCAAATGCTAGCTTGAAATTGTATCTGCTCTGGTTGGAGTCAGCCGGAAAAACATGCTCCTGCATACAAGCCCCAATGAGGGTGCACGTTTGCCTCTCTACAACTACTGTGGGACAAGTGAATAAGGAGTTTAAATTAGCCTATGAAATGTCAAGGTTCAGGCCTGCAAAGGTCAGACTGTCTTGCTCGACGCAACGAGATGCATTTCGATCAGCCACAGGTCAAAACGGATAATATATGAGAGTGAAGGAGAGACTGTGAGTAAATGCAGCTAACTAACCCTACACAAATTATCAAATTAAGTGTTAAATATCTTCTAAACTGGCATAAGAAGATGTGCTTCTTACAATGCATACATATGTTTTACAATCTCATGTGCACGATACGGAGTCGAGGTCACTGTACCTAATATTAGAACCAAGTGTGTGTGTGTAAATGCCACTGTGAGCCTTTACGGTTATTGAGAGCGTCTCTGACCTGCCAGTCTTGGTGAGCACAATGATGGCACTGGCACAGCACTTAAAGGAAGCTTCCACTGCACCAATGGCCACGGACTCAGTGGGGTCACGGGTCAGATGGGTGGTACGGCGAAGCTCTTCAAATAACTGCCTGTGGAACATAGCGGCCTCAGCTTCACGGGCGATCTGACACAACATGAAGAAATGAGACAAATGAGGAAACAAGAACCTTATTATTGTATTGCCATTGTGTATATCACAATATTACCATCTGATAACATCATTGGCCTCATGGTACCACCAGAACACTTATTATGATGGAAGCTCTATTCAGTTTGACAATGATAAAAAACCTTTGCTGGTAAATTTGATAAAAACCTTTGGTAGTGAGAGAAGAAGTGTTGCAGGTCCTCAAAAGCATGCGAGAATTTGTTGCCACACCAACCCTTGTGAAAAAGAACTGAACTTAAAATTGTTGAAAATGTACTCACCCTCAGGCCATCCAAGATGAAGATGAATTTGTTTTTTCATGTGAACAGGTTTGCTTTTGAAATTTAGCTTTACATCACTTGTTCACAACTGGAGCCTCTGAAGAGAATGGGTGCCGTCAGAATGAGAGTCCACAACACAACACAAGTGATCTACATGACAGTCCATCAATTAACATTTTGTGAAGTGATAAGCTGCATGTTTGTGAGAAACAAATCCATCAATAAGGCGTTTCAATCACTGTCCAAAATATCAGTCCATAATCAATAATAACGCTTCCTCCAGTGATAAAGTCCATCCCCTGTTGTCCTCTGACATCAAAATCCAGTCATTATTGTTTAGAACTGTTTTGGACGGTTTTCACTTGTAAACGGTGCTCGATCTGTGCATATTTCTCTCCTCATTCGGATGAGACGACTTTTCACTGGAGAAAGCAATATTGTGGAAAACAGACTCTTTAAGCTGAAAGAAACGGTTTGAAATTAAAAACGCATTAATGATGGATTTGTTTCTTACAAACACAGAACTTTTTACTTCACAAGACGTTAATTGATGGACTGGAGTGGTGTGGATTATTGTGAAGCTTTTATCAGCTGTTTGGACTCTCATTCTGATGGCACCCATTCACTGCAGAGGATCCATTGGTGAGCAAGTGATGAAATGCTACATTTCTCCAAATCTGTATATTATTAAGAAGTATATTATTTTAAAGTGTATTATTTCCGTAATGACTACTCTTTTTAAAAGTATGCTAAAGTGTACTTCTTTTTCACAAGGGTAATAGTTATTTGCACATGTAGACAGTACAATTACAGAAATAGAATTAGCATTTAGTTAGTGTTTAATTTTACTAGATGTGCTTTTGGAGTTAAGAGGTTTATGGTGAGATTACACGAATGTTCTGCTTAGCAAGCTAAACGTACAGTATATTATTAACATATTAGCATAAGTGCACTTATCAGGCACCAGTCAAGGTAAAGCCAGAATGTGGCGGTCTTGATGGTACCTGGTGCTGTGTGCGCACAGACTCTAGAGGGTATTCACCCTTTGCGGTCTCTCCGCTCAGCATGATACAGTCGGCACCGTCAAGCACGGCATTGGCCACGTCGCTGCTCTCGGCACGGGTGGGGCGGGGCTTCTTGATCATGCTCTCCAGCATCTGTCAGTCAAGGAGACAGTCAGTTCCTGCTGGCTGAACTGAGCCAGCTCATTCGCTTCTGCATGGTGTCTGTACTAACCTGTGTGGCACAGATGATTGGTTTACCAATCCTGTTGCAGCGACCAATCATCATCTTCTGAGCCAGGAACACCTTCTCTGTTGGGATCTCAATACCCAGATCTCCACGGGCGACCATGATACCATCACTTGCCTCCAAGATCTCATCAAATCTACACAAATAAATAAATGCAAATAAAGAAATAATCAGAGCTCAATCTACACTCAGTCTGCAAAACATAACAATCTTTACAGTAGGTCTGGTAAGGAATGTCCACTTTGAAATAAATTACAATTAATATATTGTATATATACAATATATTCTATGCATTATATATTATATATGCACATACACACACTATTCGTGTCACTTATGCTTACCAAGGCTGCATTGATCAAAAATACAGAAAAAACTGGGATATTGTGAAATATTATTAGGCTACAATTTAAAATAATGGGCTGCGGTTCTCTCGGTTGGTTGTGTATCTTTTTCTTCCACACTTTTTCCTTCCACTCAACTTTCATTTAACATGCTTGGATACAGCACTCTGTGAACAGCCCGCTTCTTTGGCAATGAATGTTTGTGGCTTACCCTCCTTGTGAAGGGTGTCAATGATTGTCTTCTGGACAACTGTCAGATCAGCAGTCTTCCCCATGATTGTGTAGCCTAGTGAACCAAACTGAGAGACCATTTTGAAGGCTCAGGAAACCTTTGCAGGTGTTTTGAGTTGATTAGCTGATTGGCATGTCACCATATTCTAATTTGATTGATGGTGGGTTTTTGTTCATCACAATTAAAAGAACCAAAGACTTAAACTACTTCAGTCTGTGTGCGTTGAATTTATTTTATACACGAGTTTCACAATTTGAGTTGAATTACTGAAATAAATGAACTTTTCCACGACATTCTAATAGATTGAGATGCACCTTTAAATTATTTATTTATTTATCATTTATTCCTGTTATGGCAAAGCTGAATTTTCAGCAGCCATTACTCTAGTTTTCAGTGTCACATGATCCTTTTGAAATTTGGTACTCAAAAAACATTTATTATTATCATCATCAGTTATCAGTTACTGAGTTAAACAGTTGTGTTTCAACTTAATATTTTCGTGGAAACTGTGATTTTTTTTCAGGATTCTTTGATGAATAGAAAGTTCAAAAGAACAGCATTTATTTTAAATATAAATATTTTGTAACATTATAAATGTCTTTATCATTTTAGATCAATTGAATGCATTCTTGCTGAATAAAAAAAATCTTACTGACCCCAAAGTTTTGAAAGGTAGCGTAAATATACATTAAACATTAATTTAAAATATTTTTATTAAACCTATAATAGTTATTATATTATATTATAGTTCTTAAAAATACAATGGAAAATCTTAATATACAATTAATATAAAATAATGATATATAATTATATAAATATATATTATTTGATTTAATTCAAATGTTACTTATATTATCACTCACTTGCGCACACCCTCATGGTTCTCCAGCTTGCTGATGATCTTGATGTCCTTGCCTTTCTCTCCGAACACCTTCCTGACAGCGTGCACATCAGCAGCTTTGCGGATGAAGGAGGCAAAAACCATGTCGACACCCTGCTCCACACCAAACTGAAGGTCCTGAATGTCCTTCTCAGACACTGCGGGCAGGTCAACATTGGCCCCGGGCAGGTTCACCCCTTTCTTGCTGCCCAACATGCCTCCATTCTGAATCTCGCAGTTCAGGAAATCAGAACCTGGAACATTCAACAATGTTAAAACAATGTATTTTGGCAGTCCTGTTGTGATGTTTTAAAGGGCTGAAAATATGATGTGGTTATGATAAGAGAGATTCATTGAACTTGAACTTGGACCTCACCAATTTCCTTAACCTTGAGTGAAATAAGACCATCGTCGACGTAAACATGGCTGCCCTGCTGCACCACATTTGTGATGTTCTTGTAGTCCAGCCACAGAATGTTCTCATCGCAGTTGTCCTTGAAGTTGTCATCCAGAGTGAGCTTGATCATGTTACCTTTGACAAGCTTGACCTCCTCAGTGCCACTCTGAAGAAACCACATTCATGAGCAATTAGACAAGCTCTAAAACAGAGTTTCTAATATTGAAAAGGACATCAGAAAACGAGATGCTGTAATTACGCCCTTAATAAGTCCAGTCCTGATCTCAGGGCCTTTGGTATCCAGAGCAATGGCCACAGGTCGGTACTCAATGCTGCCAGGTCCAAAACTCTCAATGGCTTCACGAGCATTCTTGATGGTCTCAGCATGGTACTGCATAAAAAGGTTATTTACAGCAAAATTGATTGTGTAATATTGAAATGTTTTAAAAATTAACTGTAAGGGAGCACAAGATGACAGCAAATGTAATCTAAATGTACAAATAGGGGAAATAAGCATGAACAAGAAGAATATAAAACAGATGCTAATACTGATCTTATATGTTCCATTCTATTCTATTATTTCTTGCAATTCTGAGTTTTCATCTTGCAATTCTATCATACGGAATAAAAAAAATTAAAAAGGATATTGTGACACAATTCTGACTTCTCTTATATTTCTGAGAACTACAAGATATAAAGTCTTGCACAAACAAGCAGAAACAAGCTTCCATTATATTATATTATATTGTATTATAAAATATTATATTATTTTGTCTCTGAGATCTCAAGCCTTCTCAACTTCATCATGTCTTCTTCCATCTTTATTTGACCCTCTAACTATAGCACTCTCTATTCTAATTCTATTCTTTATTAAAAAAAAACTTGACCCTTGCTTCTCTAATTTTTCGTATTCTATCTATTTGTTTTCTTTTTATTTATTATACAATTAACAAAAGCAAAAAACTAACACTAGCTTGCTTTATTCTTTTTCTAATTTTCTTTTTATTTATTATAGGATAAAAAAAAAACGCAGTACACGTAGCAAGGTTAAGCTAACTATCTCTTGTTATAGCACTTGCATATCATTGCTCTTTTGTTGATTTTGATTGCTTCCATTGTCCTCATTTGTAAGTCGCTTTGGATAAAAGCGTCTGCTAAATGTCTAAATGTAAATGTCATCTATATATGGCACAATTTTTTTGTCCTTTAGAAACATAAAAAATTATTTTTAGACAATTTTTTCTTATTTGTTTTGCTTGTGAGCTCTGAGACCTGTAAAACTCTACTGAACACAATGGTGTGAAATAAAAAGAACAAAGTGAACATGTCTTTTTGCTGTAAAGTCTACAGCTCAGTCGGCGTGATAGTCTCTGTCCTGTCTGTCCAATCGCAGACACGAGGCAGAGACAGAGAGTATATATAGAATCAGGGAGAGACAGGTTATGTTTCCAGTGACCCACAGAAACATTTGACTGCTTCTCATCTCAAACTGTTCGTTTCAGTGAATAAATATGACTGATCCGACAGCTTTGCTGATAGTTAAGTCAAAATTTTGACTGTCGTCTCTCTGATTACAGACCGTGTGTAAGCAAATAATAAGAGAGTCACTTCACAACCATATCACAACATGTATAAAGCGTCAATGACTGTGGCTAACTGTAACAATGCTCTATTAACAATAAAAAAAAGTACATTATTTCAATGAGTAACAAATACAATTTAGAGTTCAATCAAACAAAAGGAAAGTGTTGTATTGTTACAGATTATGAATTTCAGATAAAAATGGAGTTATACATTTTAAATAAAAAAATTAAGTCTCAGGTTAAATATGGTGAATTTATAGTGATCTCAGGTCCAAATATGATATTAGTATTAACAAATATTAAAATAAAAACTAGTATTAATGTTAGTATTAACATTTAATAATTAATAATTATAAGATGATAAATAGGATGATAAAATAAAGAAATACTTTTAATGTAAATAAAAGTACAAATAAATGCAAGTTATAACATGTATATTATATATTATAATAAAGCAAAATATTTACAATATTTTATAACAAATTAGAATATTTTAAATTAAGTTTCGCTAAACTAACAAGATTAAGAATAATTCCATACATTTTTAATAAATACCTTGAAATGTGCAAACTGTAAATGGCATATTTTTATGTATATAAAGGTGAAAATAAAATAAATTTAAACAAACACGCATACACACATATTTATAGTAAATTATCTGTACATTTTTAATTCACGTTTCGCTAAACTAAACAGTTTAATAAATAAATCTATACTTTAAAAAAAATACCGGCGCCAAAAAAAAAAAAGAAGAAATTTTTTTAAATGTTTTTAATTTAATACACTGTATAGTATTGACTTTACATTTTTACAAATATTTAATATTTTAATATTTCAATCTTGATTTTCTACTTTAAAAATGGTTTTAAAAAGAAGCTAACCTGTCTCATAACCGCATGATGGTGCTTAGTAATGCTCACTGGAACTCTCAATGAACTGTGTGCTCATATTTACTTGTTATATTCAAAGAAGAAACTTCATTAAAGATAAACATGAGCTATCGACCTTCTCAATCCTCCAGACAGAAATATCTACTGCATCACTTCATGATAGCATGCTTAATGTAGTAATCAGTGGCAATGGTGCCATGCAAAAAAAAGGTAAAAAGCCATGACTTTTAAAGGGGGGAGGTCAGCGCAGTCTAAACTCACACTCTGGCTTGAGCCCATGGTGACTCTTCTCAATGTATCGACCAAACAGATTAGAGTAACTAACCAGATCAGTTTACAACTTCTGACATTTGAAGAGGCACGAGGGAAATGCCACAATAATGGAGGATCTACGATGGTACGAATGTCAAGGCTGGCTAAAGGGATGAATACTTTTTGAGGAACTCTTATTACAAGATTAATAGACTATAACAATACATTTGTGGACCATTTCAGTTGAGGTTAATGAGCTGCTAACGGAATATGTTCAAGAATGGATGAGATTGTGTACCTCGTGAGTTCCATGGGAGAAGTTCATACGTGCAATGTTCATGCCGGACTTGATCATCTCCTTCAGTGTCTCCACAGACCGGGAGGCAGGTCCTGCATTAAGATAAAACAGAATATAGAATTTTGAATATTGCATTTCTCAACATTTTGAGGGACAGTTTGCGTTAAAGGAATTGTTAATCCAAAATGAAAATTTGCTGAAAATTTACTCATCCTTAGGCCTTTCTTGATGTAGATGAGTTTATTTTTTTATTGCATCAGATTTGGAGAAATTTAGCATTACATCACTTGCTCACCAATGGATCCACTGCAGTGAATGGGTGCCATCAGAATAAGAGTCCAAACAGCTGATAAAAACATCACAATAATCCACAAATAATTCATCTCCAGTCTATCAGTTAATGTCTTGTGAAGCGGTAAGTTCCATGCTTTAAATAAACAAATCCATCAAGACATTTTTAACTTCAAACTGTTGCTTCTGGCTAAAATAGGAGTCCTCTGTTCATAATAATGCTTTCTCCAGTGAAAAAGTCTGAATCAGGAGAGAAATATGCACAGATCAAGCACTGCCAAATCAGTCCAAAACGGTTCTAAAAAAATATGTCGGTGGATTTTGTTATGAGAGGACAACAGGAGACTTTTTCACTGGAGGAAGTGATATTATGGACTCGTATTTTGACCAAAAGTGAAGGTGTAAAGTTAAAACGCTTTATTGATTAATTTGTTTCTTACAAACACACCGCTTTTCACTTCAAAAGACATTAATTGATGGGCTGGAGTGGTGTGGATTACTTGTGGATTATTGTGATTTTTTTATCAGCTGTTTGGACTCTCATTCTGACGGCACCCATTCACTGCGGAGGATCCATTGGTGAGCAAGTGATGTAATGCTCAATTTCTACAAAACTGTTCCAATGAAGAAACAAACTCATCTACATCTTGGCCTGAGGGGGAATAAATGTTCAGCAAATTTTCATTTTTGTATGAACTACTCCTTTAAGTTCCTTATGTGGTTCACTGACCGATCGTGCAGACGATGCCTGTGTTGCGAGACACAGTAGGCTCAGAGTCGATGTCCAGCAGGCACAGGTGCTCCAGGAAGGTTTCTGCCATAGCAGCAGGCATCTGCTGCGTTTGAATGAAGGCAGAGCCCGTAGTCTTCGTCTGAGACATGGCTGGAGCTGCGTTCGCGACTGCTAGAAAAGTCCTGGAAGAAATATGGACAAAGCAAATTTAGATGACTTATGCAAGGACAGTGATTATTTTGAGCTTTTTATCATCCTCGGGCCTTTGAAAACACATTTGACTTTTTTTGCACACAAAAGGACATGATGTCAAAGATGCAAAAATTTCCCACCCTAATTTCATACAAGACTGCCCTTGTGAAAAAAAACGTTTTACACTTTAGCATACTGTTAAAAGGGGTATTATGGAAACAATAAACTTTAAAAGAATATACTTAAGTGTGAACTGAATGTAATGTTTTTCGACACTTAACTGTATGTTAATTGCAATTAAATGAAAATGTATTACACTTTATATTTATATTAAATGCAAATAATTGAACTTAACAGTGCTTTTTAGACCCACTTAAGTAGGATTTAAGCACATCTCTATATGTAATTTCAATTGTCTTTGAAATGTGGTTAAAGTTAACTGCTGAATGTACTGACAAGCATTTATTGTAAACTTAAATATAATTTAGTGATCGACCGATATTGATTTTTTATAACCGATACCAATTATTTGCATGTTTGTGTGCCCGATAACCGATATGCAGAACCGATATTTATTTACTGTTATAAAGTAAATAAATGACTGAGTGAAGTAAGAACATACTTCACTTTGGTTTCTCCTTTTTTCAGTAATTTTTTTTAAAGTGTTGAAAATTAGCAGTCTTTCATGTTAAATTTAATCTTCATATTACAACAAAAAAAACATTTTATTTATAAAAAGCATCAACAGCAACAACACTAATATTAACAATAAGCAAAATAAATGTAGAATGTCTAATATTTTCAAATGGAGAAAATAAATAAAGGACAGAAGTCATCAACTTCATTTTAAACTACAATTTTAGTAGGTTTATAAGCTGTTTAATAGCTACAGAGTCAAGAATAATTCACTGGATAAGGTTAATTCACTGAATAATATTCTCTGGAATATTGGAATATAACAAACAAAACATTGTATTTTATTGCATTTCTCAACTGGAATGTTATATCAGAATTATTAATAATGTTTTTGTCCTTCTAGATAATGAAATGCCTGCTGACAGCGCGGTTTATCTATGCAGTTACACAGAACTCTAAAAAATGCTGGGTTAAATATAACCCAGCGCTGGGTTAAAAAGGGACAAACCCAGCTATTGGGTTGTTTTGACCCAGCAGTTGGGTCAAAACAACCCAGCTGCTGGGTCATAACAACCCAACCACTGGGTCAAAACAATCCAATAGCTGGGTTTGGATTGGAGCATTTCCTGAGCATCAACCTGGTGAGTGAACAGCAATATGAAAGCGGCTTCACAAGACTAATGGTGAGCAAATATACAACAGAGAGATAATTAAATTCAGCGCTTTTATTTCCAACATGCGCTCATTCATGGCTGTATTATTTAACTCATGCAAAGTTACGTCTTTATTGGGAGAGGATCTTGATAGATTATCTACGTGACTCAGACTTCACAAGACTATAGACAACAGAGAGAGAATTAAATTCAGCACTTTTATTTCCAACATGCGCTCATTCATGGCTGCATATTATTTAATTCAGGCAAAGTTACATCTTTATTGGGACAGGACTTGACGGATTATTTTACATGACTCCGTGAGTTGGTCTCTATTTCTTAGAGCCAAGCTGCATAAACTACTTATCAGGTATTTATGTAATGCATCTAATTTGTGCATAAATGGCTGTTATGTTAAATAAAGTTTACTAACTACAGCAAATCAAGTAACTGCACCATGTCTCATCTCCCCTCAGATGCGTTGCAATGATGATCCTGCCGCGCAATTCTCAAAACACCCACAGGATGGCGGTGTTTATGGGTGAATCCGAAAACAAAACCGATATCCGATTATGGTAAAATGCTTAAATAGAGAGATAATTAAATTCAGCGCTTTTATTTCCAACATGCGCTCATTCATGGCTGTATTATTTAACTCATGCAAAGTTACGTCTTTATTGGGAGAGGATCTTGATAGATTATCTACGTGACTCAGACTTCACAAGACTATAGACAACAGAGAGAGAATTAAATTCAGCACTTTTATTTCCAACATGCGCTCATTCATGGCTGCATATTATTTAATTCAGGCAAAGTTACATCTTTATTGGGACAGGACTTGACGGATTATTTTACATGACTCCGTGAGTTGGTCTCTATTTCTTAGAGCCAAGCTGCATAAACTACTTATCAGGTATTTATGTAATGCATCTAATTTGTGCATAAATGGCTGTTATGTTAAATAAAGTTTACTAACTACAGCAAATCAAGTAACTGCACCATGTCTCATCTCCCCTCAGATGCGTTGCAATGATGATCCTGCGCGCAATTCTCAAAACACCCACAGGATGGCGGTGTTTATGGGTGAATCCGAAAACAAAACCGATATCCGATTATGGTAAAATGCTTAAATATCGGGAAAAATATCGGTAAATCGATATATCGGTCGATCTCTAATATAATTGCATTTCTATTAAATCCTGTATGTAATAAATTTTAATATATTTTGTAATTACACATTTGTCATGATAAAATTACACTTCTTTAGTACATTTATAATGTACAAATATATTAACTTTAAATATAAAATCAAGTAACAAACTACAGTTCAAATTATCATCAAGCATTACTTGTTTAGTATGTTAGCCAAAATATGTGTACCTCTTTAAAGCACAATAAAAGTATTAAAATGTACTTAGTAGTAAAATTAATTACATTATTACAAATAATTTTTTTAAAAGTGTGCTTGTGTTTAGAAACAGTCATGAAAGTGCAATCTCTTTAAGTACACTTAAGTGGCCTTCTATTTCATTAATTTTATATTGTCTGCAGGTAGTTTTTAATATACTTTTAAGATTTAAAGTACACTACAAGTGCACATTCAATGCAATTAAGCAAACTTGCTATTCACAAGGCTGAACAACGCAAGATTGTCAGAGAATAATGACTTAAAGGGGTTATATGATGTGATTAAAATTTTTCCTTTCTCTTTGGAGTGTTACAAGCTCTTGGTGCATAAAGAAGATCTGTAAAGTTGCAAAGACTAAAGTCTCAAATCCAAAGAGATATTCTTTATAAAAGTTAAGAGTCAACCACGCCTACCTAAAATGGCTCGTTCTAACACGCCCCCACATGTCTACGTCAGGATGTGGGAAGATTTGCATAACGCCGCCCAAATGTTCACACAAAGAAAGAAGGCGTAACTTTTATTCTCGCTGTAGTATTGTTGTTGCCGCCGCCGCCATGTCTTGAAGGCGCTGTGTTTCGTTGTGAAAGCGAAACCACTTTGTTTGGCGTTCCAAAAGATGACGATATCTGCTTCGTCATGCGGAATCCAGCCTGGGGTCGTCACATGTGGTTGCCGCAAGCCCGCCGGACACTCCTTCGTCGAATCCGCCGGCCGCACCGTTCTCGAGCCCGCCTGCCTCTGCTCACACAAGCCGGCCTCCGCATACTCTAGGCCGTTGTTGATGCAACACAACGCGTAAAAAGACAGTATAAGTCATTATAATCCGTAATTATGTTCCCACTGGATGCAACAAATGCCTCGTTTATAATGGTTTTTGTCTCTTCGCTCAGGCCAGACACGGCCTCACAGCGTAACATTTCCGTCACACGCTTGAGGTATTCGGCCAATCACAACGCTCTGGATAGCTGGCCAATCAGAGCATTGTAAAAATCGACACGTTTCAGAAAGGCGGGGCATAGAGGAGAAACAATAATGTACAGTATGTGGAAAATAATGTGTTTTTTTTACCTTAAACCGCATAAACCCATTTCATTACACCAAATATACAAAATAATATTCTTTTTAGCAGCATCATATGACCCCTTTAAATTTCATTCTGATCCTTGCACAAAGCTATCATATGGTTTCACATGGTTCACAAGAGTGAATTACTGGCAGCACTGCCTGAGCCAGAAAGGAAGAGTGTGTTAAAATGCATGACTGCACACACACACACACATTCCAGCAAACTGTGATCTCAGGGTAAAAAGACAACTTGTCAAAGTAATAAAATATAGTGTATACATATAAGAAGAAATATCATGCTGAAGTCAATAGACATGCTGAAGTTTTAACTAAACTGATTTTAGTTAATGAACCAAATGCATCAATTACTAATAACTTTAAGCTCCAATTTTCGACAGAAAATGGCATGGTAACTTTGTAATTACGTGGATATTTTTTTTTTATATTTCTAATCATGTTTAAGGAATGGTCCAAATATCCGTTTATTTTAGCAGCAAAAAAAAGTCTCCAAACATCTAAAGCCTGCTTTCAGTTCGAAATAGGTATGTATTTTGATCTGTCGAGTCCACTGCTTCCTAACTTACCTCAGGAGCTGAACGCCTGCGGGAACCTCTGATCTCTTCCACCGCCGCTGTCTGAACTTATCCAGTCTGAACTGACCGGCACTACTTCCCACAGCCCAGAGTGTTCCTCGGGGTCTGTACAGTTAAACATTTTTTAATTGAGTGCATATTATTACATTGATAATATTAATTAGGGGTGTAACGGTACACGTATTCGTACCGAAAAATTTTCGGTAAGGGTCTTTCGGCTCGGTACGCATGTGTACCGAACAATTACAGGGTTGTTTTAACCACAGCACGAGTGGAACTTCATTGAAAACTTCCAAATTACATAATATATATTTTATATAACTGATAAGAAACAAAGTCTCATCTTTCAAGTTATGTCCATTTTTTTCAGCAAACTCTAACAATAACTGCCGTTTTGACGCTCTTTGATGTGGCGCGACAGATAACCGCCTCAGTTCAAACTGCAGCGCGATCATCCCTTCTTCTTTTAGTTTGGCGAAATAAGTTATGAATGAACATCTAATCATACTTAACCTCATGTAAGTTAATCAATCAATCCGTGTTTCAGCCGCGGAAAGACGTCAATAAAACAAAATGTCACGTAGCATTTCATTTACCTCAGGCAAGTTATCAGTGTCCACAGCTCCTTATGCGCTAGAGAAAGGAGTAAAGAAGAGCATTACTCATTATATTATACTTTACCTGTTAGTGATGTCTTAATTATTTAATGTTTAAATAAATCTGTTTTGAAACAAGTTATGACAGCCACTGTGTAAATGATTATATTTCAACAACAAATAGCAATTATATAATTTAGAAGTTAATTAATTAAAAAACTACATTATGTGCAATTTACACGTTTGCATACAATTTTTTTAATTTATTATATGAAAACAAATATATTATTTTAATATAATATATTATTATATAAAAATAAATATTATATAAAAATAAATGGTAATTAAATTTAAGTTTGGGCTCTGTTGTCTGTAACCTTATAGTAAATAATGTAGATTTTTATCCCTAAGAAAATTGTAATTGTAATTAAATGTATTTAAAGAAAGAGCAATTTGTTCAGTAAACCACTGTTTAATATTTTTTAAAAAAGCAATTTTATTTTTAGTTTTCCTCCTGCTGTACCGAAACCGTACCAAACCGTGATGTCAAAACCGAGGTATGTACCGATCCGTCATGTTTGTGTACCGTTACACCCCTAATATTAATACTACGATATTGATATGTTTATGATATATATTGGGGACTATTTCACTTGGCGCGAATGTTTTTAACCTCAGCCAATCAGAAACCACCTGCAGATTAATAGGAACTTGATACCGTGGAATGAAGGACTGAGTGTGGTCCTTTCATTTTGGGATTTAATGAACAAAAAACACGTCACAAACATTTTCTTGTATGAAAACAGATTTCCATATTGTAATATTTTAACTTATCATTCCATTTGATTTGTATTGCTATTTAAAATGTTGTACGATTCTATTTCACTCCGCACTGTTTACTTAGAGAACAGTAGGCGTGCATATGACTTTCCCCAACACTCTCACCACTCCTTCATGTCATTTCATAAATACCAGCCATTACAGGCATCTGGAGAACTAATAATAGCTCAAGGCCTACAGCTGAAACTTTGATGCCCATGATAGAAGTGCTGCTTGTTTGATTTGTTGCCTATTCTGTATGCCACTTCCACCGACTAGGAAAGGTCAGATCATCTGACGCTTTGCATATACATCCAAATAAGGTTTTGTCATAATTAGTCTGTCATTAAATTCCCTACACATATTTACCCTTCAGTGTGCAAACTAGAAAGTTTGAGACATGTTGATTGATGGGTAACAGTATGGGTGACCTTTAAAAATGCATAGCTTCCTGTCTAACATTAAGCTGTACAGTTCCACCCGCTAGCTATCATATTTTAAATTTTGAATGAAAAATGTTGGTTGCTATGCAAGTCATGATGTTACTTTATTGTCTGTCTTCTTGATTTCCCTTCTAGGGAGGCTGTAACTCCATTTCTGTCCTCTGGTACCGTATGATTTGTTTTTACCCTTTTCACTTTAAAAATGTTAAATATTTATATTATTAAATTAAATTAAATTAAATGCAATTACTAATTATTAAATTATTATTAATTACAATAATATTGTTGTTGTTGTCTGCTATGGTTGGGACTTGAAAAATGTATAGTGTGGTAAATTAATATGAAAAGAAAACGAAAAAAGTAAATTCTAAAAAAAAAAAAGGAAAGAGAGGGACATTAATGGATTGATACAGAAAATTAATAATACAGGATACACCTGTGTACCCTCGCTCATGACTTCCTCACTCCTCCTTCCTTGCCTCCACACAGTGAAATTAGAGAACTGAGATGCCCTTTGTTTTGTTTTATTTTAAAATAAAGCCCATTTTCTGCAACACTGAGTCCTCGCCTCATCCCTCTACCCGGAACCCTGACACTTCAAGATGGCTGAGTTCGATCGGTTTCACGGGCTGGAGGACGGAGGAGTAAGGAAACAAGGAAGCATCAATTTAAGTATTGAGAAGCACCCCAAAAAAAGCCCTCACATATTACACTCTTTTCCCTCTTTTGTTGATGTATCTAGGAGTAAGACAACCACTATCTCTCTCTAGTGGACAATAGACAACGCTGAAAACATCGGGCTAACTCCATGGACAGCTTGTGTCTGAAAGTGTATCCAGTCTCTATATGCAGAGGTTATATTTAAACATCCTGTGCTCAAGGCACACCCTACTTTCAATCTACATCTGCAGTAGCCAGCTTGTGAAATGGTCTGTACTGTAGTTATTTTCCCTATACTCTGTTTGACATCCTCTCGTCTTTTGTATCTCCAGACATTGGGAGATAAGGTTTGTTGTGCTAAATTTAGATCCATTTGCTATTAATTGAGGTTCAGCTGTCTCTGGTGCATATGCAGACACAAATGTGCCGTTTTATACATCCCACTAAGAACTGATATGAGACAAATGGCTCATGAGTATTGTTGAGGCAATTAAGGTAATTAATTTTATTTAATTATTTTATTAATTATTTATTTAATAGTTATGTAATTATTTACTAAAACATTGTATTATTTAAACTTATTTTTCTGGAATGATTTTAGGATTTGACTAGTATTGCTGCTTCTTAATCCCTTTTGCAATTATGTAACTGAATGAAAATCAAACATATTGGTTAAAATTTGCATAAAAAGTATTCAAGATAATAAAATCCATATGCACACCATAAATATTCACATAAACTGGCTTAAAAATATTTGGGCACCTAAGCCATACGTATAAATGTCATTGAATTGCATAAATTATTAAATCAATTGACAGTCCGTAATGTACACAGACTTTATGCAGTTTTTGGGTGGGTGCTAATGCTACATCTGCAGTACCTGCATTAGTCTAGGACCAACATTACCAGGTGCCTGAGACCAGGATAATTACAGATTAAGGCCAGGATATTGTGTCACACATATGGCATAACTTGAATATTGTAAAAGCAGTTATTTTGGTACTATCTGTATTGTAAAGATGTATATCAAAGGAAAACACCCTTAGTGTTATGTGAACATGATACAAATGGGATGGTTCGGGCTGTCGGGAGGCTAAGTTATTGTGTGTTCATGATCTCCTTTGCTCTGTACCTTTTCTGACAGTTATATGGGCCACACTTCATCTCTCACACGGTCTGCACCGCTATCCATCTCTTTCATATGTCCTGTGTTGTTCCCCACCCACTGGAATGACTAAATGATGAGGTACTGTCACAAAGCAACCTATTTTTATCCACTCAAAGTTCTTGTTAAAAGGGTAAAGTATGAAAATGACTTTGTTGAAAGCTTAACATTCCTGAAACAGGATGTTTTTGTTGAGGACTGAGGCCCATCAGGACAGTTCATCTGAATATTTTATAATCTTTATAATCTACCAAACATTTTTACTGTAAGATGTAATGCTTGTATGCTTCATAATTCATGACAGCAAATTCATTTTAAGTGTAACACCAATGCCCAGTGATTTGCCATAAGGAATATAACAAAATAGGATTGAACAGAATACAATAGAACAAAAAACAAATCACAACATAACAGAAAAATTTAACAGAACACAACTCAACAGATCCAAATAGGATATAATACAACAATAATATAAAAAAGAGCATAAAATAACTGAACAGAACACAACTCAACAGATCCAAATAGGATATAATACAACAATAATATAAAAAAGAGCATAAAATAACAGAACAGAACACAACAGAATAAAATTCAGCTCACCACAAAAGAACAAAATACAATAAAACAACTCAAAATAGAATGGAGCACAACAGAATAAAACCAAACTCAACACCCCGTAGAAGAACAGAATAGAACAGAACACACAATGGAATTAAACTCTACACAAAAGAACAAAAAATAATAAATTCAACTCAACACAACACAATTGAATAGAACTTAACACACCACAGAAGAACAGAACACCACACAACTCAGCAGAATAGGATAAGATAGAATTTAACTTAACACAATAGAATCGAAATCAACACAACACAAGAACAAAATCAAACTGAATGGAACTCAATTCAATAAAATAGAACTTAGCACTCCATAAAGAATAGACTAAAATAAAACAGGGCACAGAATAAAATTCAACTCAAAACAAAAGAATAGCATAGAATAAAACACAACTCAACACAACAGGCTATAATACAACAGAATATAACTTAACACACCATAAAAGGACAGAAATTGAATATAACAGTAGATTAAAAGCATGATACAAAACAAATACAAAGTCGTTGAGAACACAATGGAATTAAACTCACCCCAATAGAATAGAATAGAGCACAGCAAAAAATAACTGAATATAATAAAACAACACTGCAAAGATAAATCAAATGAATTAGAATAGAATGTAGAATAGAAAACAAAACTCAACACAATAGACTAGAACACAACAGAATAGAACTTAACACACCATAAAAGAATAGAATAGAACTCAACATAAATGAAAAGAACAAAACAGACAAGAATGGAATTCAACTCACCACAATAGAATAGAACACACCATAAATTGAAAAAACATAATAAAATAGAACACAACACTGCACAGACAAATGGAGCCAATTAGAATAGAATATAGAATAGAAAACATAACTCAACACAACAGAAGAGAACAACAGATCCACCCTTTATTAAATGAATGACACACACACAGAGTCAGGCGATGTATAACACAGAATGCATTAAGAGATGAAAATATCACATCATGGACACGCAGGGGGTTGCATTTGATCTTCTGTTCCATGATCTACCAGGCATGTCTTTTCTGCTCACCCCCTCCTCCCCTCCTGCTCCTAGCACACTGGCTGTCGCCTGCCGGTCTCATGACCCTGACGGCAAGCACTGAGCATGCCCGAGCTGTCATGTATTGTCAGGGAGAAAGCAGACAGTGGAGACCGTGAGAAAAGCAACCCGTGAGAGGAGCCAGACGAGAAACAGGGACGGCTAGACAATAGGGGTACACATTTCTAATTAAGATTCTTTGTGTCAGCTGACTCACATATATATATACATGCTTCCTGGTGTGGGGCATTTTGGGATGTTTTGTTAAGGTTATGACATACAGACCTCGTTCAAAGCATCTGCCTTGTCTTCAAGAGGTAAGACTGGAATTTTCTATTATAGTGCAGAACTAACACAAATGTAATTGAATTAGTTTAATATCTTATGGATTCTTGTGCTCATATTATGTTTTATTCAGTTCATATTTTTGTTCATTTATTGTTTAAAGAAATGGTCAGAGAATCCAACAGGTGTACAGGATAATTACAGGACAAATTACATCTGTAAAGAACAGATAATGTCCACATTTAATAATTACATTTAAATCTGTATATAAAAATACTGTATTGAATATAAAAATATAAAAAAAATAGCTGTACAAATTTAATTCACCACATCAATTACGTACATGCAGTAATTTTAAGTGCATTTGAAGTGTTTTGTAATGTGCACCACATGGGGAGTCAATATGTGCTGACACAAATGAACTCTAAATGGACGTTTAATGAATTGCCACTCTTGCATTGTGTTGTTGCAGGTTGCCATGGAGATGACTTTGCTGTAATGGACCCCAGAAAATGAGCGCAGCCCTTCCGTCGGCTTTGTTCAACCTGTGTTGACTTCCCAAACCCGCCTAGCCAAACTACACTTAGCTGGAATGGATGAATGTGGCAGAGGAAACTCACTAGAGCAGCATCTATGAACAGCATGGTATGAAAATCACACATGCTAACCATTATCCAATGCACTGCAAGCAAATAAGGTGCCTTGACGGACAATATAGCCAGTCCAAGCTGATGATCTAAAATGTAGGCTGCCCTACTGACACAGTAACCTGTTGAGTAGATTACAGACTGACTGATAAGGGCTATTCAGTGTCTAATGAATGGGGGTTGGGTAATGAATTACCGCATCACAAGGGAAATTAGCTGTGATTGACCTGTGATAACTTTTTCAGAGCATCGGTGAGCAATTCTGGAGCGATGAGGACTCGGATGGCAACAGCGATGGTGAGGATTTCTTCTACGGTGCTCAGGTTAGCATATTACCCAGCAATCTACTGGAAACACATGCTAAACCTTAAGATAATTTGCTAAATTAGCAAACAAATCTCATTTTGTTAATTCATTCTTGTATTTTATCTGTCTATCTAGGTGTATTTTATCTATTAGCTTTTTATATTGTGTATCTACATACCACAGCGGCTGATTGTAGAATACATTGGGGTTACTAAAGTGCATTGTGGGATTAGTGTAGGTTTATGTGCGGCTCCCTAGTATGAGGAGCAGCAGATGGCTCCAGTTTTTCAGATTACCTGAATTTACTTCAGATTTCTTGCCAAAACGTAGAGTATCTGTCTTCTTTTAATGATTAACAAATGAACTAATCATTCAGGATATTAATTTCACTTGGCTGAGCTCCAAAAATGGTGCTTTCTCGGTAAAAAAAAACATTTATGGCAAAAAAATATATGGCAAACAATTCATTATCATCAGTAAACAAAGAAGAGTCAGGATTACTTTATTATCCAAGAATGACCTTAGTTTAACTTAGCTGACAGGGAACATAGTTGACAGTTTCACCATTTTGATAATTTTAATGGCAAGCCTTATCTGATCAACCACATATTATATTCTTGATCAGGTTAACCTCAAATTTGAAAATATATTTAAACTGAAATCATAACAATGTTGCAAACTAAAACTAAATAAATACTTAATAGAAATGACAAAAAACTACACACATCATATATCAATAATACAAAAATTATGCTGGTTCAGTAACTTATTTGACAATGTTTGCTGACATGTTTTCTATTTGCATGTATTTTAAAATGTAATTTATTCCTGTGATGCAAAGCTGAATTTTCAGCATCATTACTCCAGTCTTGAATGTCACATGATCCTTCAGAAATCATTCTAAAGTGCTGATTTGCTGCTCAAGATGCATTTCTTATTGTTATCAATGTTGAAAACAGTTGTGCTGTTTAATATGTTTAAAGGGGTCATATGATGCTATTTCAAGTTGTCCTTTCTCTTTGGAGTGTTACAAGCTGATTGTGCTTAGATACGATCCCTGTAGTTGCAAAGACTAAAGTCTCAAAACCAAAGAGATATTCTTTATAAAAGTTAAGACTGCCACGCCCCCCTAAAACGGCTCGTTCTAACACGCCCCCACATATCTACCTCACTATGTGGAAATATTTGCATAATGCCGCCCAAATGTGCATGCAAAGAAAGAAGGCGTGGTTTCAGTAACCGCAGTTAGTGTTGAAGCAGCCATGTCAGGGAGATGCTGTGTGTTTCAGTACGAAAGCAAAAGCACTTTATTTGGCCTTCCGAAAGTAGATGCATTTAGGAATCTTTAAGATCACTTACAACAGAACAGCAATGCATTTTATGGATGAC